ACCTGAATAAGAGTATTACCTTGTATACACAGCGTACCAGAGCCACTGAGTACTATAGCCAACGGAAATCCAATCTCCCGGAAGTTGAGCTGCAGTTTGCTCTCCTCCCAATGGAGCAAATTGTCCAAAATGCTTATACCTTGCATTGGATAATCGACAGATGTATCGGCATTCTCTCTAAAACTCTTCATTACAATATCGACAAACATAAACAAATGTTGTCTTTGACAGAGGAGACAGTGTCCTTGTTATGAAACCTTAAATTAGTCTCAAGTAAACAAGACTTTTGCACATGTTCATCTGGATATTAAAGCCTCTACAAAAAAGGCATTGGCTAGAAGAATTGATTCATGAAGGGCATTACTTGTTACTCAAATTTTTCTTTTTGAGATGGACTACCTTTTAAATTTCCCTGTATAATTCATGGAAAATAGAGAAAGGAAGAACGTCTATTTTGTACCTAAATGGACGAAACCGATGGCAGCCTGTTCCCCTAAATCTCATAGGACCTTCAGGATACTTTTCACATTGCTCCATACGATTAAAACAGCTTGCAAGGTATTCACCTTGCTGTGCTGCAACCTTAAAATTTCAAAAAAGAAAAAACCAGTAACTCAAAAGTGCATTGTTAGCTGGTTGAAAGAAGGAATGGAAGAAGAGGAAAAAATTGAAATTACTTGAGCTGTTGCAGGAAGATTTTTCATTTGAGAATCTACTTCATGTAGAGCATTCTTGAATGTTTCAATATCTATCAGTTTGTTGTCATTCCCTTGAGCACTTTTTAGTAAAGCATCAAAGGTTTTCAATTTTTTCTTTTCCATATAAATCTGCACTTGAGGATACCTTTCGCTGATGTGGTCAACAACATCTTTAAAATCTTTGAGATCTAAGGTACCAGAGTTATTCTTGTCTGCCTTGCTGAATATTACTGCTATATCTTCCTGATAGTGAAATGCAGAGAAAAATCAAATTTATTGAGCTCGTCGCAGATAACCTTCAATAGCATACTGACAGGGCACCTTCTAACAAGATACGCCAAAGCTGGCCTAATTATACTCTTACTGTTAGAACAAAGAGAACAGTATGAAAATTGTCGATAGAAACAGCAAAGTGCTGGTTAGAACATATAAAAACTGAAAGGCCTCGAATGCTATAACAAAGAGATGTTATATGTCTAAATTCATTTACCATGACTTTCCGTTGATTTATCGTGGCACAGTCACCAAGAGCATACACACCATGACACCCTTCAACCCTTAGCCACTCATCTGTAGCTAAAACACGCCTGTTACCCTGAGATCAAAGAAATTTAACCCTAATGGAATATCCTATCACGCATTGCTGTGAAGTGCAGGGAAATATGGAGATGTAGATGGTTGTGAGGAAACAGACCTGACCAATTTGCTTCATAAAATCCATAATGACTGGACGAGTTGCAATGCCGGTTGACCAGAGAACCATTCCATAAGGTATTGAAACAGTCTGGCCAGTTTTTATCTCTTTAGTAGAGATATGCTTGTCAGAAACTTTTATGACCATTGAACCTGTCTTTACATCAATTCCATCTCTTTCGAACTTCTCAGTAGCAAATTTAGTAATTCTGCTGTCAAACCTGTAAGAAACAAGTAAGCAAAGGCTCAGATGTTAATTGATTCTTAATTTCAAAAATCACCATTTGACAGTTGCACCTTCTTTTCTTGGATATGATATATTCAGAGATGTACAACACCTCTTTACCTGCATTTCGAGTACCAAATTAATCGATTCCGGTCGTCTGTATGTCTAGATTTTATTAGCTATGATATAGTGTACAAAAATGCTGCACGTAATTATTCCAAATACTTTCAACAAAATGGAGTTGGATTGAAACCTACAATAAAAGGCCAAGACCAGATTCCTGCAGAAAATGGTGTATCCATCTCCCATATTCAAGAACCATTAAACAGGTATAAACAAAGCGAGAGATATTACCAACTGATAGTGATTGTCATTGACAAACCCAGAAAACATAACCACAGCCATGCTTTAGACCCCGCCAGACTAATTTCTTACTGAAGTGATCTGCCTTACATGTAAAATGTGTATTCAAGGACCACTAAACAGGTATAAACACAGCAAGAGCTATTACCAACTGACAGTGATTGTCATTGACAAACGCAGAAAATATAACCATAATCATGCCTTAGACCCCACCAGACTAATTTCTTTCTGAAGTGATCTGCCTTACATGTTCAAAATGTGATCGCCTGCCTCAAGAAGTGTAATTCTCAGGTAATCTTTGATTGAAGGATATAGTTTAGCTAAATCATCATGTGCAAAGTCATGAAGTTCTGCAGCATATTCCACACCAGATGGGCCACCACCGACAACTACAAAATGCATAATGCGCCTCCTATCTTCTTCGCTTATACTTGGAAGGCTTGCACGTTCATAACAATCAATTATTGACCTACGGATGTTCTGAGCATCTTCAATTTCCTGCATGATGAACTCGACAAGTTTAGGTTAGGAAAAAATAATTTTAATAATCTAACTGTTTTAACATAATGCTCAGAAGGTGAAAAATTCTACGCATAGCTACCAAGTCGTATAAAGTCATCATGGTATTCAATTTACCTTCAAGAAGTGAGCATGTTCCTCAACACCAGGGGTGTTGAAAGTATTTGATTTAGCTCCCATGGCCACAATCAAGACATCATAATCCATTGTGAATTCTTCATTCCCTCCTAAAGTGTTGCCTTGATCAGTACTCCTGCAATAAATTTTCTTCTGTACTGGATCAATCTTGTAACATTCAGCCTCCTTGAATCCAACTCCAAATGGTTTCTGCAAGATACAGAAATAACGTTATGTAGATGTTGTTTTCCATTTTCCAACACATGGATGCAGCTTCAAAACAGCATTTAAGCCATGTTAATAAGATTATCACAATTCTTATAATTGCTCCTCTTCGACTCTTTCATGCTGCGAATTCTAGACATTAAAAGAAGTCTTCAACATTAATATTTCACCTTAATTCATGTAATTCTGAATGAATTATATGCACAAGATTCCAATGCAACAGCAAGTACACTACTCTATGATTTACATTTTCATACCTTCCTTGCAATATTGCGAATTGGTTCAACAATGCTGCGTCCTTCGACTGTTCCATTTGTAACACTTGGTAATAATGGAGTAAACGCAAAATAGTTACGCGGTGAAACTATATGAACATCATATGAAGAACTCTTCAAGTTTTTCAAGAAACTGACGCCAGCCCAACCAGTTCCAAGTATCACCACCTTCTTTTTCTTGCCATCTCCTTCAGCATAACTTTGGAATGCGTTGGCATCAGAAAATGCCAGTAGACCTCCACCACTAGCAAGTCAAATTGAAGAACACATGAACAAAGAGTCATTATATATGCAAAGTCTCCAAATTATTGTTAAAAGACCATGAAAAGGAGAAGAAAAACCATATTCATTCTATAACATACTTTATAGCTTAATTCATCCATAAATTCCATCTTTTTTCCTAGCTTACTTTTTTTATGTTAATTATGCAATGTTCTGCTCCTTTTTCTTTTCTTTCCTTTACTTTTCCAGCCATAGATATACCTTGTTAAGGGAACAACCACATACTATGGTCAAAAACTCTTCAGAAACACATCTCTTAGATCAAAACTCAACAAGATCAAAGAGAACAAAACAAAAACAGATAGGAAAAAAGGTTGAGAAAAGGTAGCCCAGATGATAACCTGACAGAGGAGATGACAAGAAGCTTAGACACTGTAGAGTGATCATTAAAAGCTCGAAGAGTTCTCTCAAAGAATGTATAGTACCCTCTCATTGTAAAACCGAACTTTTGTTGCCTCTCTAAACAAAAACTAATGAAACAGTTCTTTCAATCTTGTTTTTCTGTTGCAAAGGAAGAATAAATCCAAGAGCAGATTCTAATGAGAAGTTTTCGGATCAAAAATTTGGAGCTATTAATACGTAGTGTTTCCGTGTCGCTGTCACAGAACCATACCTTCCTCTAGCTAACAGTTTGGTCCCCTTTTTTCAAGAGGGGTAACATGATTTTTATTTTTATTTTTGTTTTTTGTTTTTCATCTCGGTTGATTCCTGTCACAGAACCATACCTTCCTCTAGCTATCAGTTTGGTCCCCTTTTTTCAAGAGGGGGAACATATGATTTTTATATATATATATATTTTTTGTTTTTCATCTCGGTTGATTGTACGAAATCCTCGTACCAACTTAGATGTAAAAATTTTATGTCTCTGTTTCCGAAGAAGTTATCTATCATGAAACTAGAAAATGGAAAAGAAAATGTATTATCCAATCACAATTTTGGAATAGAACCTTTATCCACAAAGTGAGGAGCATACTTGCCAACCACATGGTATTTAATATTATTGACAAAAATGTTACTAATATTTAAGTTTATGGTAATTTTAGAAAGAAAAAATAGTTAATTTGGATACTCTTAGCAAGAAAACAGGATCTCCTTGTTGCAAGCCTTATTAATCTTAGACACATTATATACCACCATGGCCTCAGCACAGAGGAATTACCAGCAGGCATTTGACCAGATCCTAATTTATCTCATTTCAAAATGCCAAGCACTCCTTTTAATGTACATTAGATGAGTGATATTAATTCCCATGTCATTCCCCTAAGATCTCACTCCATAATCCCATATATCCAACCCTTAATTTTTATTTTTATTTTTATTTTCTTAAGGTGATTTCAAAGATGTTATAAAAACCATCCCAGTCTTAAGCCAAGGTTTCGAGTCAGTAGGGTAATTCACAATTTTTTCAAAAAACAAAATTTGTTCAGAACAATATTATTTTTAAAAAATAAAACATCATTTAAAAAAATTACTTGAATCTTGCTCACGAGATAAAACCACATGCCAGGTTGGTCCAGGCCTCGGGTGGTTTCAGAACAGTAGGTAATTCAAAGATAAAGCAGCAGCCTTAGACAAAAAACATCATAACACAAAACTGAAGACTTCAAGAAAATACAAGTCGAAGCCTTGTAAAGTTTGGAACAACTTTGCGGGAGCATGAGCATTTTTCCACGGTCGTGTAAATCAACGGAAGACTTTCCATACAAGAAAGAATACTTGTCAGCCATATACAGCACCAGGTTACCAAGAACTCTGTTGCTCTCCATGCTATTTTACACCTGGTAAACTAGTAAATGGTAACAGTGTATCAATTTTACATACCAAAGGAGAGTACATAGACACAAATTTGAAAGGGAAAAAAGGAAATCATATATATTTATGCGCGGTAGGTGGAAATGCTGCGATTGAGTTGTGGGAAAACCAGTGACTTAGGGATAGTTTATAGAAGACGCCATTTTTTGTCTCAAATACGGCTTGAATCTCTTCCAAAAACGAATCTCCTAGTCCAATCAGATACCAACAGCACCCTAGTTCGCCAGCTCACTTGTTTGCTGAATGAAAGAAAAGGTTACAGTCAAATTCATGAATGTGGAGACTAAATGCTCGCTCAAAGAGCTAGCAAATCTTGAACTCTAAAAGTAGCTGATAATCACCTGGCATATACAGAATACCAGAGCCACTGTGTGCTGTGACCAATGGAAACCCAGTCTCCAGGCAGTTCAGCGGCTGCCTGCTCTCCTCCCAAAGGGGCAAACTGCCCAAGATGCTTGTACCTTGCATTCCAAAATGCCAGAATCTTGGAAGTTAGAAACATGAAGATGGAAAGGAGGCTTGATACAGGTATAATAAAAACTGGTTCATAATGTTCTTATATAGATATTATAACAGTTCAATAAGGAAAAAAGATGAGCACTTCAAAGACAGATAGCATACCGAAATGGAACAAATGCATGACGCCCAGAACCTACAAAACGCCGAGGACCTTCAGGATTATCTTTGCAGTGTTCTCTACGATTGAAACACCTAGAAAGATAAGCACCTTGTTGAGCAGCAACCTGAAGAAAAAAATGTACTGAAATTCTTGTATCATAATTTGAAGAGAGGAAAAAAAAGTAGGACTGACATCAAAACATACAATAGTAGATGCAAGAAAAACACCTGTGCAGTTGCAGGCAGACTTTTGGCCTGTGAATCCACTTGAGAAAGGGCTTGTTTAAAACCTTCAATATCAACTTCTTTTACGTCTTTTCCCTCGGGATCTTTCATCAAATCTTTCACATCTCTCAGATGCTTGTTCTTCAAATAGAGTTCCAGTTGGGGATACCTTACAAGGATATCATCTACCACATCTTGGAATTCTTGAACAGTCAAGGTACCAGAATTGTCTTTGTCTGCAGCTTTAAATATGGATACAATATCCTCCTATAGCACAATGGCATTGCATCATATTCAAATCTTGTTCAAAATTTCACAAATTTATACAATTATATAAAAACCAAGAATTTGAAGCAAACATGAAATGGATGAGGAAATAAAAAGGTAAATGAATTGATAGTGAAGACAAAGAAAAAAGAAAAAAAAGCTGATAAAGGCATTCAGTTTGTCCATGAAAGGTGATTCAAGTATTTCAATGTCTCCTTAAAAATGAGAAATATTAAAAAAATTGGCAAGCCTCCCTTATTCAGCAACATAACACACCAGTATTCAATAAATAACATGATCTACATCTGGTATTCTAATGAAAAGGCTTATTTGGGAGTCCATCAGTTAATTTGATTGATCACAATTCTGTAAGTTCCATTTACTAAAGAAGTTCCCAAGGAATTCATTAGAGGAATGTTTCCAATAAAAATTGTTTGTTCTTGCATATCCCTGTTGTTTTTCCAAATTAATCCCACAGATGCATACAATTGAAAAGATATGTGAGTGAATATACAGCATCCCTTTCTGGAATATGTAATATCATAAAAAATAGTAGAAAAAAAGTTCAGTGCACAAACTTCATGAAGAGACTCAACATTCCAGCAAAAGAATTGCACATATTGGAGATCAGAGAAGCACAACTTGTTGCCATCTCTGCTTATTTTGTGTATTCCAAAGAAGCAAAGGTCTCTTGTTTATATAAACATGCACCCCTAATCCTAACATTTTCCCATCTGCACACTATTCTGATGCAAGTTTTCCATGATTTAGGTTATCAAACTCGATTAACAGAAAAAACAAAGAACAAATCCCAGGATGTATAGGCTGAATCTGCTAATATTCAAGCATTTCACGATGCAAAATGTCCCCAAGATAAATAAACTAAGCATCTCTTAAGAATTAAATTGACAGGCTAAAGGATTCACCTACCATGATCTTACGCTGATCTATAGTGGCGCAATCACCAAGTGCATATACATTTTCACATTCCTTTACTCGCAGCCATTCATTAGTTGCAAGAACACGTCTGTTAGCCTGAATATGAAACAAAGTTTAAAGTGTAATTAATAGAGTAAGAACAACCATGTAGTCTGACAATTTTGAAAATCTCAAAATAACAGCATGAGCTTGATGCCACTCTACATATTTAAAAAGTTGGATCTTAAGTGACTTGGTGGAATAACCTTCATTCATAAGCGAGCATTGTCATAATATAGAGTCAGAATCTGCTATATGCAACGAACCTGCCCAATTTGCTCCATGAAGTCCTTCACAACTGGGCGAGTGCTGATACCAGTAGACCATACTACCAATCCATGTGGTATAGATGTAACCTCTCCCTTGGATTTGACCTTCATGGTAATTTCTTTATCAGAAACACTGAGAACTCTACATCCTGTCTGAACTTCAATACAATCTCTTTGAAACTTCTTCTCTGCAAATGTACTAATTCTCTCATCAAACCTATAAAGGCAGAGTACAGTAGCTGCTTAGTTTTCAAATTTTCTTCTTGCCCATTTGCTGAGATGCATTTTATAAGCAAAGATGAAGCCATCATATCAGCAATAAACATACTTCTTTATAAAGAACATGAGGCCAGTTATATGCAGTAATAGTTCCAGTGGCACAATGATGATGAATATGAGAACATCTCACCAGAAATGAAAGTTTGGCATTCCAGTGACTTATCAGAAGCATTATACATGTAGAACGTGAAAGCTAAAACCTTACATGTTTAGAATATGATCTCCAGACTGGATCAAGGTTATTTTCACTAGATCTTTAACCATAGGATAGACATTGACTAAATCTTCCTGGATAAAGTCATGCAGCTCGGCAGCAAACTCCACTCCAGTGGGACCCCCTCCAACAACTACAAAATGAAGGTTAGTTCTTCGCTCTTCTTCAGTCAGGCCAGGGATGGAAGCCTTTTCAAAGCAATCAATCACACTTCTGCGGAGCTTCTGTGCGTCCTCCAATTCCTGAAAAGGTCAGTTTCTCCCTTTATAGAAAGAAAAGCCCAAAACCTCATGGAAGATTGCTGAGTTGTAGATATTATATGAGGATTACAGTGTTACTTAACTCCACCCTATATAATTAAAATGACCCTACCTTCAGAAAATGGCAGTTCTCCATGACACCAGGGGTGTTAAAAGTGTTTACTTGGGCTCCTATCGCTAACACCAAGTAGTCATATTCCAGGGAAAAATCTTCAGCACCAATCACGTTGTTCTCAAAATAAGACTTACAGAAAACCTTGTTTTTTGCAGCATCAATCTTGACACATTCTGCCTCATAAAATTGAATTTCCCCATTTCTCTATCAGAATAAAATGGAAATTCTATAAGAAAATAAACATGAAAACATAGTGATCTGTACAAACTGCAGGCATATGTTTATATTCATGAATGAGTATGAGGTATTTCTGTGTGTGTGTGTGTGTGTGCACTTTATATTCATGAATGAGTATGAGGTATTTTGTGTGTGTGTGTGTGTGCACCATGAAATCGCTCAAAATTTATCACATGATTAAATATGGGTTCTTGTTATCTTCCTTTACCTTCTTTATAATATTCCTGACTGGCTCTACAATGCTCCGAGCTTCAACTGTACCACAGGTCACACTAGGCAACAGAGGGGTGAATGCAAAATAATTGCGAGGTGAAACAACCTGAACGTCATATGAAGAGACATCCAGATCTTTAAGGAAACTAATACCAGCCCACCCTGTCCCCAGAACCACCACTCTCTTCTTCTTACACTCATTCTGATTAAGCTCAGCAGCAGGCGCAGCTGTTTCTGATTGCGAATCAGCATATGCCACTAGACCTCCACTACTGTAATAGACCTCAAGATAGCAGACATATTTGTTAGAGAATGACTGGTAGAATTCGTGAAATTGTAAGTTCATAGTTTATGCAAAATCCATGTGGATTATAGCAAAAGAAAAAACTTGTAATGAATCCAGAAAATTATCTTTTCAGGGACCTTAACTGCTAGTCTCCTGCTTTAGAATAGGTAAGGAAAATGATAAGCTATTCGGAGATCTAGGTTCAAACATGGTAGGCGTCATTCGACTAGAATGAGGCCAAGTTCAAAACAAAAAACAAATCAACTATAAACAATGGCAGTTCACTAGTATTAGATTGTTCAACCTAATTTGACGGTATCATTTATCCTTATATGTGTGCGTGTGTGTGTCAAAAAATTAACAAATCATATTTTTAGCTTTCACTTCGTGCCATATTCTGTTAAAATCATTTGTTAAGGGCACCATTGGGCATCTTAAATGCTATATTTTGTGAAATGTAGCTATTGATACCATGGATGCACTCAATTCTACTGAATATTTCTGTGTGGGAATTCGTTTTATATGTTGAATTGATAGCAATGTATCGTGTTTTTTGCAGAGTTTTGGAACTAAATTTGATATTTCAAACCCATTGACGAAAACTAAATTTGATATTTCAAACCCATTGACTTCCTTTCACATTACAAAATCATGAATTTCACTTGCTTCAGAGAGGGAAAAGGTCACAAATTATGCTAATGCATCTACAATTTTCCATTTTGATCGATAAACCCCACATCAAGTTCCTTTCGATAAACCCCTTGGATCCTGTCACACTAAAAGACCTCACTAATCAAAGCAAGAAAAAAAAGTTAACAATCAAATAAATAACTTACATAGACATCAAGAACCTACATTCAGCAACAACCTAGCTATGTTAAATTCATAGATCAAAAGGGAAAAAAAAGGTTGACCTTTAGAAAATCAAACCCGTTAAAAGAAAGAGAAATTCAAAGATTCGAGACCCTTTTGTTTGCTAAGTAATCTAGTTTTCTTTAAGAAAAAAGAATGAACCCAAATTGCAAATTTTTTCCCTTTTTCATAAAAGATATAAACCTTATGCTTTTTCTCAGCAACCAAAAGGATAAACAGTGTTCCTTTCACACATTCCAAGTGAACAACTTGAAAGGGCCTGTCTGTTTAATAAAAGCCACTAAAAGAACTAAAGAGATCTTTAAAAATTCACGTTTTCTCACTTTTCTTTGGAGAAATGAAGAAAAGAAACACTAGGAAAAAGGAGAAGTACATCACCAACCTGAGAGTGAAGAGAACAAGAAGCTTAGAGGAAGCAGGATAGCCATGGAGAGCTCTTGAAGCTCTGTTGATGAAGGACATAATCGTCATTTCCTGGAAAATATCTCAAATTCAAGAGGGTCTTGACTCTTGAGAGAGCAGAGAGCTGACACTCAGACACAACACTGGATTGCGCCTGCTAACTATCCGTAGAGAGTGATTGGGAGACAGACAAATGCAATCACTTGGCCTCATGCAATGATAGCATAACACATGTACATTTTTTTTTCCGCACACCTTCTAAAAAGATGGAGGGAGTATCAGGTATTGCTTGCAATGAAATTAAAAATTTCACGATCTTTTTTTTTTTTTTCCTTTTTGTTTCAGGTGTTTTTTCTTTAGGGATGATCAAGATTAACTTCTTATAGATGATTTTATTACTTTGTTATTGTTTAGAAATAGAGGATACGAAAATAGTAAGATAAAAAAAATACTTGTTTCTTTATATTTTATATTTTAAAAATACTTGAATTCACTCAAAAATTATTTTAAATACAAATGGATTTTTTTCTTATATTATTTTTATTATGAATTATTAACCAAATAAAAAATATATATTACTCAAATACAAGAATAATTCCTATAAACATATACCATAATATATATATATTTTCAAACTCCTGCATTATCTTCGATTTCAACAAGAAATAATATACGAATAACCAAATTCATTTTTAGTTACAAGCCTAAGTCAAGCTTTTAGAAAATAAAAGGGGAGACTTTTTGAGCTTTCATGTTCAAACCCAGTTAGAATAATAAAAGTAAAGATTTCGATACTGTTTGTGTTTTAATTATATTTTAAAAAAATTGAATTTTAAATTATTTCTTATTTTAATATGTTAATATAAAAAATATATTTTAACATAAAACACTTTAAAGTAACTATTTCAATCGCTATGACACTTTGTATATCTGTCCTTTACCATGTAATCAAATGTCACTGACCTATAACATGGGCAATAAAAAAATGCAATTGTGACTTGTCCTTTGCTTTGTAGTCTGGTTATTACTGTCGGCAATGGACACCTTCTTCCCAAAAAAAAAAAAATTGAGAAATTGAGCGTGCAATTTAGCAACTTTCTCTTTGAATACCTAACTTTATAGTTTCAACATCCGGTTTGGTTTAATATCTTAATTTTAAATTTTAATTGGGTCATTAAATTGTTTAAATTAATTTATATAAAAGATTTAAAATAATATTATTTTAGTTAAAAAATAAAAATTAACAGTTTACAACTAAATTTTAACATGTTATTAGACCACACAAGGTTTTTATTTTATTTTTTTTATTCAAGCGGGCCTCATTTTAGCTTTAAGTCTACCAAATTCCTGGTCCTCTGGTTAGACCAGACGAGGTTTTAAAATTATACCTAACTTACATAATCCAAGTAAAAGTTATTATTTATATATATAAAGTGTTTTTTTTATTAAAAAAACTCAAATTGTATTTTGTATAAAAAGTAATCAATCAATTCTTTTAATTTATCAAAATTTTTCTGTTATTGTTTTATTAAAATTAAGTGTTGCTTCTAGCTTGGGTCGAATCTTTAAAAAAAAAAGAATATGATTTATATGATATATTAAGTGAATCAATTATGAATTAGTAAAAAATCAAGAATCTCTTTAAAATAATATAATTTTAAGGTTTTCGTAAAATAATAATAATAATTCAGGTCAAATTCAATTGATTCAATTAACGTATAACCCGATAATTTTGAATAGCTAAAGTTTAATAACTTTTTCAATTGTTTCTAATGGCCTCCTCAAGTGGTGCTTATCGGATAAGCTATGATTGTTGTTTAATAATTAGAATTTAATACATGCTTGTGAATATGAACAAGTTGAATCCATTAAATTATATTTTGCAGTAAATATTTTAAAATTTGTAAACTAATAAACAATTATGATAGATTACCACAAGCAAATATACTGTATTTTTTTATTAGGGTGAAAATAAATGGATCATTAGTCGTGAAGACACACAATCATCATGAGATCAACGTACCAATAAAGAATTCTGGCTGAATATTATCCAGTGAACACAAAGCCAAATCCTTATCTTGTCTGAATGGCCGACAAAAAAATAAATAAATAAATAAATAAAAATAAGAGGGGACGGAGAAAAACAAATACTTAAGAGGCATGAACATAATCCTCGTAACAAAACCTCAGACGGAGGATAGAATAAAAGGGGACAGAAAAGGTATTTTTAAATTCCATGCAAATCAGCTTGGTTGATAGAGACTGAGTCTCAAATTAAATTAAATGAGAATTTAACATATTAATTTAATGAGTCAAGACTTGATCATTAGTAAAAGTTTAGTTTGACTTTTAAAAAAATTAAAGTAATATCAATTTTTTAAAAAATATTAAAATAATTTTATTTTAAATTTATTAAAATCAACTCAAATTAATTTATCCAACTTATAATCATAATTTTAGACCATATTATGAGCCCATGCTAGATTTAATAAATTAAGATAGAAGTGCAAGCAAATATTATAAGTATAGTTACAAGGGGAGGGAATCCACTACGCAAAATACATTATAGATCCCCTTACATGGCATGATAGGCGGGTTGTTTACAGTGTCTTTTTTCTTTCCCTTTGGCCCTTACTATACCAAATTGCAGGTCAATTTGTTGGGAAAGGGTGAGATTAAAATACGAGGGACTAAAGTAAAAATATTGGGGGGATAAATGACTTTTACATAGTTTGGGTGAAATTTTTATTATGGTTCCCAGACTTTTTAAATTATAAATTTTGATCCCTTTAGTTTTTCAAAATATGAGAAAAAATCAATTTTAATTCAAATTTTTTTTTATTTTTTAGTTTCTAGTTAAGAGAGAAATGATAGAAAGTTGTTGGAATATAACATTGAAGAGAGAAATTTATGTTGGCAACTATTTCGACCAAAAAATGAGTCAATAATTATACAAAATTGTTTTTAAAGAGAAGAGTTCAAATTAAATATTTTTTTACTTTGAAATTATTTAGAAAAATATAAGAGTTTTGGTTTTAGATTGTTTTCGAGTTTTTGCATAGTTTTTTTTATATTTTTTTGATGTCATAAATAAATTTATCAAATTGTCTAATATGTTTTTTACATGTTTTTTGTCTGTCTTAATTTTTCAACTATCACAGTAATTGAAAACTAAGAAATATCAAACAATACATTATGTATCTTATATTTTTTTCATAACATTATGAACGCACACCATGCCCCACCTAAAATATATAAAAACAATTAAGAGTTCAAGCACACAAGTCTGATTTAGTTGGCCCGCACATGGACCCTTACTTAATAGCCCAAGTATGCTAGCCTAGTATTTTTTTAAAAATATATTTTTTTAAATTAATATTTTTTATATGTATTTTTTCAGAATAATTTTAAAATTTATATTTAAATTAAAACCCCTTTGCTCTTTTATTTTTTTATTTAGTTTCTTTTAAATAGAAATTATTTTTTAGTTATTTTATATGTATTTATTGTTTTAAGAGGTTGTTCTAGTTCACTTATATTTTTTATGTTTTATATAAATAAAAGTTATTTTTTTCATGAGTATTTATTTTTATTATCATTTGATTAAATAAAAAAATTATAAAAAAATCATGAGATCAAATATCTTTGTTTATATCTGTCCTATAAATTTTTATCTTTATTTATAATTAATAACTTTTTATTTATTTATTAATATGTATAGTTCTTAATTTATTTGATTAGATATATACATAAATTTTTCGACTCTCACTTGAGATTTTTTTATAAAAAGAAAAATATCTCATAAAAGTGTACATATTTATGTTTTAATTTTTTATTTTAAATTCAATCAGTAATGAAACACGGTAAAATAGCTAGTAAAATTGAAAGGAAGTTGCCACAGCCTAATAAATTATCATATTAGATTGACAGGCAGAGTGGAATGATGAGAAGGCACATTCATTTATATATGTGGTTAATAAACTAGATAGAGTATGAGAATAAATACATGAGAATTAAGATCTAAGAATAATATAATTACTCGAGAAAAAAAAAAGAATAATAATATTACAAAGAAGATAAAAGAATGAGAACTATCTCTTTAAAGTGCGAACATTAGAATAAAAAAAAAACCCTTCAGGTTTCCATCAACACTAATCATGCCATTTTACGAGATGTCCTGCCGTGGACCCATGGTGGGGGCACATGATTTAACGGGGCACAATTTGCATGATTTAACTTGTTTGGAAATGTTGTGTTTGAATTAATTTTTTAAAGTATTTTTTTATTCAAAAATAAATTTAAATAATATACTTTTTATTTTTTAAAATTTAATCCAAACCATACAAAATCATAAAAAAAAAATTCAAAATTATTTTTTAAATGCCAAAACAAACACATTCAAAATCTAAGCTGCCACTCAAAATTTACCTGGATAGTTTATTAATTAAGATTTTAACTTAGCAAGATTCATTCAACTTGATCATATTATTAAAGAATCGAGTGTTCTGATAAAACTTGATTTACATCCATGGAAGTCCAGGTAAGTTAATATATATATATTCAAAAACCCAAAATATTCATCTGGCCATGAAAAAATTGTAGTTGTTATTGTATGTGTATTTAAGACTTTAAATTTAATTTATAATTTGGATTTGTGAATTATATTTCAACCATGCTATTTGTTTTTCTTTTCAAAAAATTAACTAAAAAATATGTTAAAATTAAGGTTAAAGGTTATATTAAAATTGAGACATGTTTAAATATTGCTTGATAAATTATTTTTATTTTAACATGTTATTGATTCACCGAGTTAATCTCAAGTGTTAATGAAATTATTTAAAAACTTAGATTATTTTTTAAATCATTTCTTTTAATTTTCAACGTCGATTGGGATACTCACCTATATGTAGGTGACTCTATGCTTGAGCAAGCCTTTGAGTTTTCAAAATACAAATAGAAACTGCCATTATGCAAATATTTTTGTGTTCTTATTTGTATTTAGAAGTATAATTTTAAAATTGGATGCGTAGGTCAACTTGGAATTGAAACTAAACCGAATTAAAAAATTTTTAAAAAAAACTTTATGTAATCTAATTATTTAGTTGATTCAGCAAAATTAGTGAAAAATTCAATTACATTTCGTTAACTTCTTTTTAATATAAAATAATATCATTTTATTTAAAAAAAAAAATAATTGGAATAACCTAGTTAAAACTAGGAATTTGAACCTTGGACCTGACCGAATATAAAAATTATGTTTAAAAGTATTT